GACATGACCGTGTACCCCTCTCGACACTCACCCCCACAGGACACAGTGTCAGTTCACAGGCCAAGCTTCTATGCTGAGAGGTTCTACAGATTCTGCAGCACAGTTGTCTTCAGAAAAAGCTGCTGTGAGTCTCCACACGTGTACACGGTCATGCAAAGAAACGAAAAGCTGACATCTGACTTTCTGTGAAAGACAAAAAGTGAAATTATGTCCTCCCTCCCTTCACAGCGTTACGATCGTCTCCGTCCAAGAGAGGCAGAGGGACGTTCTCCTTGTCCAAGTCTGGTGGACAGCGTCCCTCACTGAGCGATGAGCGGCAGGAGAACTTTGACAACTTGGAGAACCTGAGAGGAGCCCACAACTTTCCTTTGCTGGACGACAATGGTACGTTACTCTTTAAATGTGTAACACTCTGAAGGGACTTATTGTAGTATTCTATCAGTCTTAATGCGTTCTTTTTAAATATTATAAAAATGTTTAATGATCAGTGAATAAATGTGTCTTGGCTCACGATGATGTATTTTATGTTATTCAGGTAAGGAGCCACCGTGCACCCCTCCTTCATTTGAAGATGCTACCACAGCCTCTATTGCTACCACTCTATCATCCAACAACTCTATACCCACCACCCCATTCGATACACCAGAACATCCACGCTCCAGAAGACAAATGGCTTCACCAAATGTGGCTAGGTGGAAAAATTTGCATCCACTTGATGATTTACAAGGTTATGCCGTCACGTGAGCTCACATGTTGTGTGTTCTTGTGTTGCACGAAGATCCCAAAAAGAGGTAGTTGAGGTTCACGGTGATCGACAGGAGACCATAACAGTGGAGGTGGAGCTGAGGTACACATTTGAACAAAGTCACAATAATAAAACAACAAACCTTTTTGTATGTTTTCACAGTTATTTGTCTTCTCTTCTCCAGCCAAATCCCACAGAGCACTGAGCTCACGCAGATGACTGAAGACACCTCTCCCAGCCAGCAATCATTTGATCGTCCAACAGTCGCTTCATCCTCTGCACATTCCTCCGCCACCCTTCCTCCTTCCTCCTCCTCTCCTCAATGCGTTGCCCAGTCATCTGCTACACTCTCTTCATCCATCCATCCATCCAACAAACCGCTCGCCTCTCTGGGAGCTGCTCAGTCTTTAACTCTCTCTTCTCCGGTTTCTCAGTCAGCCGTCACATCTGCACTCACAGAGTTGACTCCAAACACCTCCTCTCTACCTCCCACCTCAGCTTTTACCCCTATTTGCCCCGCGTCTACTCGCTCCTCCACCCAGAGCTCCTCTCACCATATCCCATCAACACCTCCCTCCTCTGCCCCCTCAAGCCCCCAGGCACCTCAGCAGGTGCCACGTATGTCACAAAATCAGCTTTCGGTGTCCAGCAGCCACAACTCGTTGGACGGAGAGGTGCAAGTTTCAGACATTTATTTTGTAAGTTCATACCCAGTTTTTTTTTTACAGCTTCAAGAAAAGCTAAATTAAAACTCGTTTATATAGAACAAACTAAAATGATTGGATAGATTACAATAACACACTAAGCACAGTTTCTGAATAAATGAGTATACAGTTAGTAAAGATCATTTGCATTTTGTTTCTCTTTGATCTATGGGGTGTTTTGCAGTGGTCCAGTCAGGAAAGCGTGGTAGAGTTATGATGGTGAGGAGGTCTGGGGGTGCTGCAGTGTGCATGCACTTTAAGAGCTTTTCTTGCTTTTTTTTTGTTCTCTTTGAAGCTCAAAGCTTTAACCAGGCAACACTTGTGCTGTTGAATGTCTCATAAAACGACAAGCTGCCTCACCTGCACAGCATGACGTCTGTTCATCTGTCAGCTGTTCGTGTCTCGTCTCGATTATTTTCTCTTCATTATCATATTCATTCTGCAACAATACATCCTGGTTTGTCTATAATGCAGTAATTAATTGTCATTCTTTCACTGTAGTGTTCACGTGTGCTCATCTGTGTGTGTGTCCAACCATCAGTATGCAGATGGAAGGTACTGGGTGTACTCTCCGGTTCTCGGTCGTCGTAAGCTTAACTCTAGTTCAAGTTATAACGTAAGTCCCCTGTTAGGTAGTCATGTAGAAGACTGGGAGGTTGTTGGTAGTTGCACTAGTGGGACTGTTCCAAGCACTGCTGTTTTGGATCATCACAGTCAAGTTCATTTCTCCTCCCCACTAAACAATCATTTGAACGTTCTGGATCGTGGCTGTGCAGGTAGTTTGTTTTGCTTGGATAGGCTTAATGCTTTTTAGTGATTCCCTAAGATGCTGCTTTTAGCTGGCAAGCCGCTGACAGCCGTCTTTGCTTTGCTAGACTGAAACCTACCTTTCTGATGTTGGAAATTACCTGACTAATAAAGTTGCACTTCGCATGTTTTAAGTATGCTGATTAAATTAACATGGATACAGATATACTTAGTATGACTACAGTGCTGCACAGGTGGTGTCAGTTAACTTGTAAAATATTACAAACTTGCACAGTGCAACTTTAGAGTAATCCATGTTTGAACAATGATTTTAAATCTGTTACCTCTTCTCGTTTCCTCTCCTGCTGCCCTCTGCTGGCTCTTTCTTCAAACTACAGACTCAGGAGGACCAGAGCTGGGTGAACTGCAGCTCAGAGTCCAGAAGAGGCTCCGATGGGGAGAGTGAGACAGTAAGTCTGCAGTTCGTTTATGATTTCAACACTGGGCGTAGAGATAAGCTGATCTTTTTGTTTTTCTCCTCCTGTGTGCGTCTTTGATATTAACCGTATCTATTTCTCCTTCAGTAATTCCCTTGGGAGACGGCAGCGATGAGCCATGGGTGGAATGTTCAAGTACAAAAGCTGTGAGGTTTTAATGATAAAACCACTGAAGATTTACTGCTGGAGCTGCATGTTGGAACCTGCTTTGCAAACTGAATAAGAGTTCAGCTTAAAAAAAAAAATCATGCTGAGACACTAAAATGAAAGGAAAAGGCAGAACTATAAAAAACATGATAAAAAATGTTAATCTTCGGACGATCGGTCCAAAATGTAAACATAAATCAGGCACAATCAGCTACGTCCCACTGTGAGTATGATGTCTGGCAAAAAGTCCAGTTTGGCTGCTTCCATCAGAAGAATTCATGCTTGATGGTCAAACTTAGATTACGCTAACTTACAAATGCGTAAAGGCTAAATTGAAACTCCAAACATCGGTCCATTCTCTCTTTTCTTACACAGTTTTGTTGCAAAAGCAGCGAGTTAAGGAGCAGAGTGGGCCTAGACTTTTTTCTTCCCAGCTCCTCCTATGCAAAATGTGTCATTGATTTCTCTTACTGACGCAAATCGAATTACTCACATTTGTTCTGCATTCATTTTTAATTAGGGACGTAAGTTTTGTAGAATATTTTTTTCTCTGTGTTTATTGTCAGTTGAAAACACTCAAACACAGTTAATGTTTCATGTGTTGTGCATACAGTTTTTTTTTATTCTTCCAGTGCTGTGTGGTGGTCCACTTAGCAAATTTTGATCCGATGTCAAAGGTTAAGTTAAAATGGCCTTATTTACTTTTTACAAACGACTTAGCGTAACGTTTTTTAAAAGTATTTTCCAGTAATGCGTTATATGGTTAAAGCAACTATTTTTTTGGCAGAGTTCAAATATAGGAAGATAATAAATAAATAAAAAATCAAAATGTATTTTGTAAATTGTGTATTTGCATGTGTTTGTCATGACTGTGTGTGTGCATGTGTCTGCATGGGTTAAGATTGGGAGACATACGCAGAGTTGTCTGTCCTTTGTTTATGTCATGTTGTTATTGTTTAAACCAGCAATAAGCATGTTGAGTTCATGGGGGGAGGGGTTTAAGAAGAACAAAAAAAAAAAAAAAAACCTGACAATTTAAAGTAAAGTGACTTGTATCTAAAATGCACAAGGTCTACTGAACTGAAATATCCTCTGTTTTCCGTACGGTTTATTTAATGAAGATAGTCAATCTGCTGAAACACAACTCTGTAATTTTCCTTCCTGTATGAGTGTGAAAGCACTGCTTTAAGACTGCTGATGTTACCCTGCTGTTTGTAGGTTATCACTGTGAAAATACAATAAATCATATATTATATTGTCTAAATGTTATTGATGAATGTCTAATTAAAAAAAAAAATCATCATCTTCTTTTAATCATTTTTGTCTCAAAGCGTAACCCACCAGATGGCACCACAGAGCTTCAAAAAGGCACAGAGCTCAGAGTTGATTAGAAAACTACTCACTGTTTTTTGGACGTCCACCCTTCGGTTGCATTGTGAAATTAAAATGCCCAGTATGCTACAGTATGAGCCACCTGTGCAGGTCATGATTCTCTTTATTGTGCTACTGATGGAGCATAAAACAGGCACATTTTTAAAACCTCATAGCTCAACTCTCCATATCATGCTGACATTTTAATGCACACAAAAATAATGATATAAAATCTTGATTGCTGGACTTGGAATGAATCCATTTGATTGGCTCAGGTTTTGCTTCTCAAAAATATGATGACAAGAGAGAAAAAAAAAAGAAAAGGGGTCCAGTCATCCTTCACCAGAGGCGCTTAAGTTTAAGTAATGCTTGTTCTCATCTATAAAAATGCACTTACAGTATATCCAGAAAGCAACACTGAAGTAAAGTTGGGCTATTTCCTATAGACTAAGGAGAGGAAATGTGTGTGTGTGTCCTTGTTTATGCTACTTTGTAAGGCCCATTTTTCCAACTTATAATACATTGTGAAGACAAACTGCGCCTTATAGGGCCCAAAGCCCTGGCCCCATAAGAAGAAGTCCCGTTGGTGGGTTAGGTTTAGAACTAAGGTGTGAAATGAGGATGTGTTAGGTTGAGGGTTAGGTATGTACTGGTAATGGTTAGGTTTAGGGTAAAGGTCAGGGTTAGGCTATAGAAATGAATGGAAGTCAATGGAAAGGCCCTATAAAGATAGCTAAACAAACCTGTGTGTGTGTGTACTTGTTTATGCCACTTTGTGAGGACCATTTGTCAACACACACACACACATTATGGGGACCAAAGCCTGGTCCCCATAAAGTTAAAGGTCAAGGTTTCTTTATTGTCTTTCGCATCACATTTGGTACATGTGGTGGAATTAAATTGTGTACACAGGGTCCCAGTTACATCCAACAAAAGTATAAATTGTAAAAGAAAAGCAGTATCTAAGATATGAACTAAGACATACGCTCAACTAAGAATATGCCAAACACTTAATAGTACAAAAACAACACGTCAAACAACAGCAGCACGAACATGAGTCTGTGTGAGCACATGAGTACGAATGAACCCATCAGCAAGCAGTGTGAGATCAGCAGCGTGAGATCAGCAGCATGGATAGTCTGCAGCATATATCAACAACCAAATGGCATTACAGTGATTTTTCACAGTGATTATCCTGGTCAGGGATTTATGAGTCTAACAGCTTCAGGGTAGAAGCTGTTCCTCAGTCTAGTGGTTCTACACCTAATGCTCCTCAACCTTCTGTCTGAGGAGAGCGGGGCAAAAAGTGTGTATGCTGGGTGAGCGGGGTCCTTCATGATGCAGGTGACCCTATTCCTGCATCTGGAGGTGTAGATTTGTGATGGTGGGGAGACTGACTTCAACGTGACTTCAAGTGTCCGTTAGTGGGTTAGGTTTAGGACTAAGGTGTGAATTGAGGATGGGTTAGGTTTAGAGTTAGGTTTAGGGTCAGGGTTAGGTTATAGAAATGAACGAAAAATGAATAAAAGTCAAAGCAAAGTCCCTGTAAAGATAGCAAGACAATCCTGTGTGTGTGTCTGTGTGTGAATATGTGTGTGTAGGTAAAAGTCAGAGTTGTGAACGTCACTCATGGTGACAAGTCAGCCATGTGTGCCCACGAGCCTTGATGGAATGTGTGATGGACAAGGATCAGCAGCCACCTGACCAATTGGTCTGGAATTAAATTGTCTTACACACCCACACACACACTCTGTCTCTCTCTCTGTCCTGTTCCTCCTTCCCCACCGTGTCCAATCACCTCTTCCTTATTTTCCTCCCAAAGGACATTCCAGAGGTCCAACCAACAAACTCCAGCGAAAAGTGATATTCAAAACTGTTCAGCAAATCCCCAAAATAAATTTGTCCAGCTAAACTTTCACAAGAAGACAATTCATCTTTATAAGGAAAACTTTAGATTTTTTTTTTTTTAACTCAGCAACGTGCCTCACCACAGCCAAATCTGACCAGTTACATCATAACGACGATCATAAAACCTCAGTTTAGCTTGCGGTGATCGTCGGGACCCCACCACGAGTTGTGGAGCACAAAGTGCAAAGGATCCCTAGAAATAAAAGTAAATCTAAAAACAACAGCTAACCGTGTTTTTTTCCCCTCCCACTATAATTATTGCAATTGATTAAAATGAGTCATGAGTGGATAAAAATAAATTGATCATTGAATCTGCTCATGCTGTCAATATGATCTTGTTTAATTGCCTAATTAGAAACATTGTAAGCCTCAGCCAGTGATGGTCAGAAGCTGAGAGTTTTTTAAAGAACATTTTACAATATTTATAATGTTTATATTTATTCAGTAGAACCACGCTGAGGGCTTAGTGCAGAAACTAAGGGTGCAGTATCTCCATCAGGTCTGGATGGAGCCTTCTTGTTCGCCAAGCATCCGCATTAATCTGCTCTAGCTGTCCGCCGCAGGCTGATTCCTTGCATGTCAGATGGATTGAAGACAGTATAAATATCTCTCTTAGCTTTTTTTTTTTTGTCCTTTTTTGCTCTTTCTCCCACTATTTGCTTCAGTCTAAGCACCAGAATAAAAATGTGACTCTGAATAGGGGTAATTTCATCCTGATGATCACAGTGAAACATCTGTGTAGAAAAAGAAACAAGGACAAACTAACCAGTTATGTTGATGTATTTATTCTAATTTCATAAAAATAAAAAAAAGTGGAGTGGCAGCACCTGTGCCAAAGGTGAATGGGTCATCTCAAAGCCGAGCTTTCATCTGCAGGGAGCATAAACAAATGTCTTTGTTCTTCTAAAGAAGAAAGGGGGCGAAAGCCTCAACTAACAGGGTGAGTGTGCAGTTTGTGTGTCTGCACGTGAAAAGCAAAAAAAAAAGAGAGAGCGAAAGACAGAATGTAGAGACAGATCAAAGCAGGGGGTATGTTTTTGAAACCCTGTGTGGGAGGTGAAGCCTCACCTACCCAGAATGCCTTGCCTCTCTCCTTCCAGCCCACTCAGGTTTTTCGGAGCATCACTTTTCTTTGCAGCTACCTCTTCATCAGTCATCTCCGGCTATTCTCAGAGAGTCTTAAGAAGGTGATTTGATGCGAACCAGCAGTCAATCTGATCGGTATAAGCTGCATCTCCCACACAGAGTTTTAACAACAGAGCTTCTGCTGCTCTGACTGCACAGTTATGTACTGTGTTGAACAAAAAAAATGTCTGTAGACTGTCAAATTAGAGGCTTGGCTGAATACCACTGTATAAAATGCCTTCTAAATTAGATTAGCATCCATTCCCCCTTTTTCAAACCTCGCCAAGGGAGAAACGCATATCCTTTTAAGTGAGCGTGAGAAGCTGTAACCAGATGTGTGTCTGTCCAACACAGAGGAAATGTCATGCCCTCTAACACACATGAGAGCTGTAAAAGACTCCTCGTTGCATCCTCACTGTCTTAAGGCAGTGTTTATCTTTGGTAAATCGAAGAAAACAAAGCCATCGATTTCTAATCCTAATCCCCTTCCACTGCTTCGCCTCTATTGATCGTATTGATCATCCTTCCTTTGTTAATTAGATTGGGGATACAGAGGAGTGGAGGGATGATGAAGCACAAAACTTTCCTTAATAATGGGCTGCTGTGTTTTGCTTCTTCTCATCCTTTTTTCACTCCGTGTCTGTCTCGATCACGAGGTGATTGCTAATGCTCTGGTACCTTGGAGTGATTTATCAAACCTGGAAATCCGCAGAGATATTGAGGATTTTATGCAGCTCACATGACTGAATGCAATGGATGCCAAACACTGGTTAAAATGGATCCAGTTTACAGTTGTATCTTTTCTGTATCGGT